GATTGTGGTATTTGTTAACATGTGCTTGCTTTAATAGAATGCTGCAGTCCAGTCTCATTGAATCAAGCTTACCTCATTTACCCCATCAGTAAATGTACGCTGATCATCTGCCTTATAAATCATTTTGGTGATGGTAGAAACTGACACATACAACTTCTTTTTGTTTGGCTGTTTTTTTTATTTGTTCCTGGTTTACTGGTTCGAGTCACCTTCGTGCATATTTAGCATGGAGACAGCTAACTGATAACAGAAACCTCCCATGCATAAGATGCAAGTTTATTTAGAGAGACAAGAGCATAACTGCAGCCAGGTTCACTGCTTGGTCGCTTTCATTTATATTAAGTGAAACTTCAGCAAAGGCATGAATGTAAAGTAAATAACTGAATATTCTCTGAAGTAAAACAAAAACACCTTCCAAAGTCTGTGTGTGTGTGTTTGTGTCTTTTAATATACGGATAGTTGAGCAAAAATGTCCCCTTAGCCTATGCAGATTTCTGACTTTTTACACTCAGTAAGCCATTTCTTAGTCGGCAGATTTTGATACATCACTCTTTGCTCCAAGTGGCATTTGACATGTTTTATTGTGTTCGAGCTGTATTTTCTGAAAGACGTAACATCAGTGTTCACACTCTAAAGGAATGTCAGTTCTAAGAAGCTGAGGATCAAGCAAAAAAAGGATCAGGCATCCTCTTTCAGTTATTTCCCTGAATTCAGCAGATATCAGAGAACAAAGAACTGTTTTTGTGCTATGTTATAAATATATTTCCTAACCTCAGCTCCAGGTCAGCAGTCTGTTGTCATAAAAGTGCAGCTCTGTTTACTCAGACTTATAGATTCAGACAACATAGGCAAGGTGCTGCAGTAACTAATAACAGATTTTGTCTCGGAAGAAAGAGCACTGTGTAAATCATTTTTATTGTAGCATTAGACCACTGTGGCGTGTGCCAAAATGGCAGAATGATGGAAATATGTGAGAGTGAGTGCACACGTCTCCACCATTTCTCACTGAATTCTCACAAAGAATCAGATTGTGCTATTGTTCTTTGTTTCTTTTGCTCCCAAGCAGTGTTTAGAAATGCCCTCTGCTGCAGGTTTGCGAACAGGATGCATGCACAGACGGGCTGCCAGTTCTAGCAACTGACTGTTGTGTGAGACGAAGTGTGAAGTAATATGCTGTGACCAGGATCCTGGTCAGACTGGTAATTCACTCCAATCGCACAAAGAAGAAAAAGGGTAGAGAAGAACAGAGAAGAAGCAGTGGGTTAGCAGATGAAAGCTGAAGGGTACTTTCTTCCTCTGCTTCGTATCCATTTTCATCAGGTTTCACCTCATTTCCACACTTACATTTTCCTCTGTGTAGTTCTCCTAATGTCTTCTGATTCAAGGTCTTGCCTCTGAATACATTCACCAGAGTCGACCTTGCTTGTGAGCACAATAAGTAAACACAATGGATGGGGGGTTTCAAATGCTTCCAAAAAAAGATTACACTGTGGTGTAATAATAGCTTTGGTAGGAAGTGTCAATTGCATTGCAGGCATTTTCCCATGCACTTATTGCTTAAGTTAGAAACTTGACTTATGGCTACTAGTAACCTCTTTGTCTCTCTCTGTCCCCATACCCCCCTCCACCTTCTCTGACTTACAGGAAACAAGATGGAAGGATCCGTCGTATCTCTGATGAAGTAGAGCCCCCACTAGCACACTCCCGCCCTCCATTTCTTTTCCCCTCACTTTCAAAGGTAATACAAGGCTTTGACCTGCTGCTGCTACTCTTTTCTTTAATCAGGTTTGCATTTGCATTCAGACACAGTGCCAAGAATCCCACATGAACAATGTGAAACTGAGGGTTTTACCACTTAAAGTTACGGTTAACTCAGTGCTAACATTAGTAATTGTGGCATAGCGTGTCATCCCCTTCTATGCGTGATTGATTAATAGCATTTACTGGGATAAGAATTAGAGCCCTGATTAATATCTCTTTAATTAATACTGTCACACTTATGAGTATGGTGGTATTAAAAGTCAAAAGGTCGTGTCAAGATATTGTCATATAGACTAACCTGTCGGCATGAAAAATGACATTACTGTTTCCTAGTGATCCCCCTGTGTGTCTGAATGTTTCAGTGAGAAGAGCAAACAAATGATGATTTAATCCTGCTATATGTTTTCCAAAGACCTTTTTTTTTTCATTTGGAATATATTTAAAGTAATTGTGCATTTGACATAGTCTGCACTGCAGGGAATGAATGTGATTAAACTCCGTCATGAAGTTGTACGCTAGACTGAGTAAGGCTCTGTGGATGTGGTTTCGAGTACACTTCTTTATCTTATGGAAAGGACCCACTGGACAGCTCGCTGTGATGGAACTAGAGATCAATGGGGTGGAGCTGGTTGCATCAGTCAGACACCGCAGTGACAGCTGACAGCAGCCGACAAAGAAACAGTTTTAGAGTTTGACAGCAGTTGAAATAATTGGCGCATATAGGTTGTTGCAACTTCTGCTTGGCCAAACTGAAAATTATTTTTAAAAGTATGTACGGCTACAGAAGTCTTAGTGATTCAGCTTTTTATTAAATTTCACACAAGCACATTCTCACTCTCATTTTCTCACATACTGACGCTTGGTCAGGACCTCTGTCACTTTTCGATGTGCGGTTTACTGCTCCGGAATACAATTTTACTGGATAAGAAAGAATAACAATGAAAAAAAAAAAAGATAGAGCCTGACATGGAAGAAAGGAGTGTGACTGGGAAGCTGGGATGGAAGAAAGGAGTGTGACTCCTGTCTGAGACCACTGCTTTTATGTTCCATCTCCTTTTTTTCTGTTACTTTTTGTTCAGGTTGAGCCAATTAACTACTGCAAGATTTAGGAAAATATTGTGTTCAAATATCCTTTCTTACAATGCGTACATTAGAAGGTAAACTTCTCCCTTTATTGGTTTACATCAGTAAACCTGAGGCAGTGACAACACGAGCAGAGCACCTGTAGCAGAACGCTTTTACCTGTAGGCTTATGGTGTCTTAGAAACTGAAGGACTTTTACTGAAGTGTGCTGGTCTACCTTGCGTATGAAAAGGAGCTCCCTTTTTCTGAACACATAACCTGGTCTTGAGCAGGTTACGTTCAGAAATTTGATTCATGCCGCTTTTGGAAACCATCTGAAAGCACCATGTTTTCACGGTTTCTTTTATGCACAGCATGTTTTAAGTGCAACAAAGATTTGCTGTGCAAATATATTTTCTATGTGCAAGTTATTAAGCTATGCCTTGCTCTAATATCAGAAATGAGGTCCAGCTGTAAAGTTACAGCAGCAACAACTATGGATTGCATTGTGACTGGAATATACATGCATTCAGGTGCTGATGCAGAACGTGTAAGAATGTTTTTATAGTTTACTTGATTCTAACCTGTTGCTCAGTTTGTTTTACGCTGCTGGAATCACAGCTTTTATAATACAGAGCACACACCGAGAATACCTGCTTAATCAATAAAATTAATTCATTTGATCTGGCAACAAACTAAAACTATTTCCATCTCTCCTTTATTATGTGACTTTAATGTTTAAATGTAACCAGTTTAAAGTTTCAGAGCTCTAATGTGCATCTATCACATTAGAAATAAACAGTAGCAGCCAGAGAGTGCACTCAGGATTTATTATTCTAATTACTGTGAATTGTAGTTCTTGTGATACTGAATTCACACCTCATCTATTAGTTGTAGTATCAAGTGTGCCTCCCGTGTCTTATTTCTGTGTTTGCGCTGTGATGGACTGAGCAGTGAAGGAAACTTAGGCACAGGTTAAAGTCCAAAAAAAATGATTTTTTTTTTTAACCCAAAAAACATAATTGGTTAAATCATGCAAAAAGAATCAAAATCTTGGGCCCATAAAAGAGGTCAAAATAACAGAACTCTACTTAAAGTTGACAACACTACTGATAACTCAAACAAACTGACCTAACTTAACGAGACAAAGGGGAAACTTAAATAGTGGCTGATCAGCCCACAAAAAACACAAGGGGTAAAACACACAAAACCTAACATAATGAACTCCAATTCCCCCCCATGGTCCCGAGTCATGGCATGAACCAATTTGTAGTCTTCCTTTAAAGCTCGCTCCGCCCCTTTTCCACCTCTTGGCTCCTTAATCAAGGGACTGGAACAGCTGCAACTAAGGTAACTCAGAAAACAAAAGATTAATCATACATACCAGTGTAAACTAAAATGTGCGCACTTATTTTAGAATGCAGTGTTATGTGGATATGTGAATTAACTCTAAACCAAAACCAGTTATTTATTGTCCTGTAAATTAATTCCTATATTTAAAGAAAGACAAATGTGAATGCAATGTTACTTATAAGCCTCTACACTAACATGCTGGGTATTACCACTGTGTGGCTGTAAGTGCAGCCATCACAGCGCCTTGGTTCTTTTGTGTTTCATTGCAAATTTTGTTGCGTTATTATGAATGTCTTTCTCAGTCTCCTTTGGCTATTTGCAGTTTTACTTTGAAGATCTGTTTTCTTTCCTGTCCTGTGTTAGTTTTGCTTCCTCTCTATTTCCTGCCAATCGTCCCTCCAATTGACTGTCTTCACCTGTTTGCGATTGCTTTCTGTGTCTTGTTATCCTCCTTTTGGACATTCACTAACCAGCCCACTGTGTATTAATACGTCTGCCTCCCTTTTTATCTTGTCAGATAATCTATGCTTCCTGTCTTGCTGACATGTTTTCTCTCTAGAGCTGCTGTGTGTTTCCTTTGTTCCAGACTTGCGATTAATCAGCAAAATAAAGGCTCTTTTTTTCTGTACATCGTATACTTTAGTTATACTGAATTTGGGTTCACTCTGATCACTCTGATCTCAAATCCATGTCAAGGCATGGGGAGTAAGTAGGGAGTAGATCACAAACTGGTACAACTAAATACCAGCACCATGAAATCTGATGGTTCCAGCCAGGCATTAAT